GGCTATGAAATCTTGATTTAAGTGCCACAATTCACAGACTGTGAAGCCCAAAGTGGAGTGACAGAGAAAGCAAGAAATTCAGGTTTTGATTTGTTAGTTACTGATAAATCACTGAAGACTGGTTTCCCTTACCAATACTTAAATGCAAGTATTTATTCAGTCCTCACGCAAAGCTGTCATTTCCTGGTATCAATTAATTTCACATCGACCTAGCAACACAGTCACCAGAAGCATCCCAGGGAACTGATTAATATAAAATTTATTTAAAGTGTATTTGCTACTAACAATAGCAATACACAAAGGGAACATTTAGCTTTACATTTTCCCGACCTAAATTTGCTCGTATGCAGAAAATACCTGTCTTCTCTTTGATAAAAATCAATTGATTCAAGTTTTCTTCATGTAATGTTCATATAATTTTAAGACAACTAAGGCTGTGTGCTGAGCTACACACACGTCAGGAACAAATAAGGGTTTATCTAGAAATGTGCAACATAGTGCAACTTACTTTGGAACTTCTTTAATATATCTGTCATATGCAAGGGTATTCTTTCCAAAATTGATCTGTTTTTGTCTTCTCCTTAGAACCACTTCATCTGTTTCCCTTTCAGCTGGATTAGCAGAATCATTTGAAACAGAACTTAAAAAAAAAAATCAGAATTAAGTTGAAAAGAACCTTAATAGCTTTACAAGTTGTTATATAAACACATACTCTAGAACTGCATGTATTCTTACTCTGATAAGACAGTAAGCGCAACTCTTACTTCAGTAGCTGACAGAAGCGAAAGTTATGCTAACCAAATGAATCACTACAAGAGTAGGTTTTGCAAGTTCATGCAATTGCTCAGGTTTGTAACAAGTAAACATACACCTGACGGTACTGGTGCTAGAGCTGCCTTTCTAGAAGCTTATAGCTAGTCCTACAACAAGCTATTGCATGGATGTGTAACAACCTCCCAAGATAAATATAAAACACCTTAAACTCAATAAAATGAAGATGGATAATATAAAGCAAGCTAGCTTGAATGATCTAATAGCCACTTCTCTCTCCAAGCCTTGATGGCAGGTTTTCATTTTTCCTTTCACTAGTCCAGTATTTTCTCTTATGGAAAGTGGTAAGGAATACACAATTTAAGCTGAAAAAGAAGAGAATCTGAAATTATCATACAAGTAGTTTTAGAGATAAGACTTCTCAGTGCTACTCCATCCTTAAGGCTTCCCTCAGGCTTGATATTAAACAGATCTTCATTAATGCATGTAAAGTAGTCGGAGATCATCAGATGGCTATTGCCAAAACTAATGCAACAATAGTTAATAACTGTTCAGTACCTACCTTGCCATTTTTTTATTTGATGTCCTCATTGTTTTGCCTTGTTCAATTCCACCTTCCCAGCTGGGGCACATAGAAAGAGGCCTAGAATGTTCTGGTGTTGTAGAGCTGGAAAATAATAAGAACTCAGTGTGAACATTTGTTGCTCATAACATATCTAATGAACACAAACTTCAACAGCGGACAAAAACAGCTCCACAACTGTAACACCGTGGGCATGCCCCTACTCTGTTTCAGTTCAAAGTCAAACAAATTAAAACATTTCAGCTCTAGTCACCTTCAGCAGCTATGTAAGATTATCAGTTTTACTCTGCAGGAAAAGAAAATGGTCACAAAGTGAATTTCACGTCAGAACACAGACTTGACAACCTCTTAAAATACTCCTAGCTCAGCCAATGCCAACCCTTCTCTCTACTACTTGAGGACCTTCTCAATATTGCAATTTCATCAAAGAGCCCAACTCTTGAGATCAAAATCAGTTTAGTCACTGCTCCCTGTCATCAGCTAAGGACTTTGTAAAGGGCCAGGGAGAGGCTTAAGAAATAGAAAAATGCCCATCACATGAGCAGAACTAACATTTTGTCAGACACCATCATATTCCAACATAATAATTTCAAGAATATAAACTCTGCTATGTAAATTCAAAAAGGGAGTCAGGAAGCTCGTACTTAAATAATCAATTGGATCACTGATGTTCTGAGTGGAGAAACGCACACCAGGTTCCTCATTAACTTAAAAAATATAATAAATGAAAACTGTATAATGCCGTAACATTATGAAGTGTTGAAAACTTCTTTCAGTCTGTCCAATTCTTTCAATGTCAATGCCTCAACATTTAACGTATGTAATACAGAAGTAGATTTAGCTTATAGTCTTACTTTCCCTAAACAGTTTCACATTAACAGATAACATAACCATCCGTGATACCAATGTCATTTTAACACATGACAAAGATTCCACACTAAGGAACATACCTACTCAGCCAAAGAGAAGCATAAAATGCTGCTAGTTCATCCAGTTTGACTCACAATCATAACATACTGTTACTATTTTTATGATAGCGAAGATGCAGAAAACACTCCTGAATACAAGGGCTTTTCTAAGCTATTCAAAAGATTAATTTATTAACTGAAGCAATATTAAACATGCCATCAGAACTTACAATCGCCTTCATACAATGTAATACTCAGAGATGTTTCAATTATATTAAAAAAAAGTTTTCATGTGCTCTCAGTAAAATACTTCATGTCTTCTAACTTACATTCTACTCAGTTTTCTGCACATATCCAAGCACTCGCCACTTTTCATACTTCCTGTCAGACATGAAGATACCAATCTCAACCACTTCCTCCACCTTAGGTTTTTAGTCTAGAATATCCAAAAGCAAAGCAAAATACTCCTAGAACTACCTACCTATAAAATTTGATCTCATCTCAAAAATTGTCCTTGGTACTGGACTACCAAAAAAAAAAAAAAAAAGGTATTTACTAAAAACTGTAGTACAGCTGAATATACTGAGTGTACTGTCAAGTGAAGAGACAAACATCATGGTTTGCCCACACTTATGTATAAAGATGCATAAGCAAAGCATAAAAAGTAACTGCATATTGCTTCAATGGGTATTTTATAGTAATATTGAAAACTTCAGCAATAAAGGGCTTAAACTACGGCCTCAGTATGTACCATTTCTCTCTTTCATATGGAATCATAGAATCTTTGGGTTGGAAGGGACCTTCAAAGGTCATCTAGTCCAACCCCCCTGCAGTGAGCAGGGACATCTTCAACTAGATCAGGTTGCTCAGCGCCCTGTCCAACCTGACCTGGAATGTTTCCAAGATGGGGCATCTACCGCCTCTCTGGGCAATCTCTTCTAGTGTTTCACCACCCTCATTGTGAAAAATTTCTTCCTTACGTCTAGTCTAACTCTACCCTCTTTTAGCTTAAAACCATTGCCCCATGTCCTATTGCAACAGGCCCTGGTAAAAAGTCTGTCTCCATCTTTCTTCTAAGCCCTCTTTAAGTACTAGAAGGCTGCAATAAGGTCTCCCCGGAGCCTTCTCTTCTCCAGGCTGAACAACCCCAACTCTCTCAGCGTTTCCTCACAGGAGAGGTGTTCCATCCCTCTGATCATACGTGCTAATATTATGGCATGTATTTCAATTAGCTAAATTGAATGGTCTAGTCTTGCATAATGCAGATATCATTTGCTAACTCTGTGCTACTGTATTAGTAGAAAACATTTAATCATGTCTGAGGTTTTGCTGGATTGCTAAAGAAAAGAGTGCAGCACAGTGAAGATTTAAACAAATCTCACATTTATTCCTTACCTCTCCAGCCATTGGTCTAGATGTCTACACTGATATTCATCAAACATCAAAGAATCTGAATCATTCCAGCTTCTACATTCCTGTTCTTGATCCCAGCAATGTGGATGTTGCATAGAACTAGAAAACAAGAATTTTAATCAGAAATCAAGCCACTGTAGTCACTGAACACTGCCTATACAAAACAAATATGGACAATCTAAGTATCATCATTTGTAGATAAAAATGCTGATCTAGCATACAGATATGTGATTTGCATCAACTTATTCAGGCAACACTAACTTAACAAAGATGTTAGGCAATGCAATTGCTGAGAAAAGGTCTTTGACTAATGCAATTAAGACATCAGAATTTTAAAATAAACCATTAATATTTAGATAACCAACAGTATACCCTTCCTCTATTTGCAAACAAAAGGGGGAAAAAACACAACTGAGGACTGTCACCAGTCTTTTCGGAACCGCTGAAACATGCCAACATTCATAGATCCTCTGTCAGCAATGCTTTATTTGACATTTATATACCATTCTATCCAGCACTAAACTCGTGGAAGAGGCAAGTACAGAAACATCACTTCAACACAGGAAAACAGCACGTCTAAGGACAAGTAGATCAAACGTTTATGTGGAAACAATTTTACACAGGAAACCCTTTACCAGGCACCCAGAGTCCTCGCGGGTAAGCATGGGACAAGGAGCTAGAGTGGGGGGCTTGTAACATGCTGAAAGGACAGCCAGAGACTGCTTAAGGATTAAGAGTTATCTACATTTTCTTCCTCAGTTCTGGTGGTTTTGACATCTTAAATGATAGCTTACTAAATAAAACACCATCACAGTGTCTACTAACATCACACCTGCAGATCCGCCACAACCTGCCTAAGAGAATGACCCTACACTGCAGGCTCTACACAGTACACATACTGTTCTTCTGCACGTGCGAGTAAACAGTAAAAATACTGTTCTCTATGTGTGAGGTCTCCACACTTTTTAAGTCAACAAGTGAGAGGGAAGGTAGGTTTTTGTCGTTTTAATCCTGGATTAACAACCTGTTTTCTTCCCCTTCCTCCTCCACCCTGACGGGTTTTGGGAGTTTCTTGCTCCCAGAGGGCTCAAAGTTAGTTAAGACACAGCACAAATCGCTTACTCCTAACCACGGATCTAGACAAAAGGGCACTTTCAACACGTTTGGTTTCTGCAAAGGCAGGGAACAGGTAAAACCTTTCTGTAACCATCCTCAACAACAATTACTCAGCTTAAAATACTTGAAACGGGGGAGGGGGGGCAGGGCAAAGCAGAACATCTAGCATGCCTTAGGTACAGCACTACTTGAAAATCTACGGGAAAATGCTAACCGAAAATTTGCTTTTTAGAAACATCCCCGTGTTTCTTCATCTCCCGTGCGCTGCACTCCCCGCCACT